TTATAGTAACGCTAAGAACGGATGGTATTTGCGGTTTAAACGCCAACGAACCCACGTTGTTTGGTATTGCGACAAAATAGGTCGTAACAATGTTCAAAAAGCTTGAAAAGAATAAAATAAGAAATCCATATTTAAAAAAAAAAACATTGACTTGCCTACCTTTTCTCTAACCTCGCAAAGGCTGAAATTCTTATTTGGTATTTTTTTTATTAACCTTACACATGTCATCTCACACACGGCCGTCTAATTCCAAACTAGGCAAAGCCCGTATTATGGTAACCAGACTGCTGATAAGCATATTTGTATATTTCTAAATACATTCATATTTTAGACAAATTATATTGAAACTACGAGTATATAACGAAGTTTCTTTGAATTTATACGCAAATTTTATGGTATTGTAGTATTACTGTGAGTTCAACACATTCCTGCGGTAAGAAGTTCTGAATGGCTGAGGATATTTCATGAAAAAAAGACAACAGATTACTGTTTCATGTTTCAGATTGTCTTAACATAGATGTACAAATTCTCTCAGCATCTTTATCAAAGTTTTAAAGTTGTTTGCTTGCAGAAGTAATCTTTTCGTCATCTCACGTGTAAATTTTTTGTCGTATAAAATTTAATTTCAGACGCGTAACGACAAATTGACGGATCGATCAAATCGGACCAAAAGCGTCAGTATGAAATCAACTTAAGAATATAAAATACATTACCTACGTGCTCTTTTATTTTTGCTAACTTATATATTTATAAACTACTTTTCTTGACATTGTAAATTTAGTACGCCTAACAGGAGAATGCGCTGTAGTTGTTGTTTTTTGTAGGCTCTTCAAGACTTCAATTGGTTTTGGGTTGAGAGATAAGTGTTTCAACACAGTATGAGCTATTTCTGCCATCCCGTTATGCTAAAGTTTGCGAGTTCTTCTACTAGAGAAGAAATACACATTCTTATCATTATAGATGGATGGAGAGCAAAAGTAAGAAAAGTCTATTACTTATGTATATGCAGGATACATCCTGGCCTCAAATTAGACGCATTGGTTTTGTTCAAAAAAGTAACCCTTTATTAATGAACATGAAATTTACTCTAAATATATAAGTAACAGTAATATAGCGAGATTAAAACTACATCACATACGTCAAATACAGAACAAGGAAACCCTGCAGTATAATTATTTTAATTGATCGATTGCTGATTATTTGGCTTATCGTTTTTTTTTGTTGGCATGGTTATTAGTAACAAGCTCGATTATTAGTAATAATCTTCTTTTAACCTACTTGTATTTGTTTGACGTAAAATTGTACATCACGGGTCCAACAGCGAACTCGCTTACAGTAAAGAATTATTTCGTTCGATGTCGTAGAAAAAGTGTTGTTGATTTAAACAGAAGCCAAACGCATACAGTTTCACCTTTAACTAACACTTTTTTCGACAAACAGCTCCGAAAGTCATTATTGTAAATAGAGCTTAGTTCTCACGGCAGGCGTCATACTCGTACAAAGGTTAACATAAACCGATTGAATATAGGTACATAAAACATTTTATGATTTAACAATAGCGTTCTGTAATGTAGGCTTTCATTGGTACCAAGGTCGATGTTTGTTGACAATGAACGAGGCCGTCGATTGCCGCTATTGTCTTACTTTGCATCATTTATTTTAATTTACGATTTCCATAAAAAAAAGAGTGTGCTTTAGACCACACGACTGAAGTAAAACTTCACTTCTTGGCAATGAGAGAAAGACAATGTGTGCTCGCACCTCTCTCTCTCTGCCCCTACAGTAATATACGAAACGTAACTCTAGCTCTTTCTATCTTCACTAACTTATGTATATCTCCCTCTCAACTTCCGTTCGCTTCGCCTGATCACGCTTTTCGTAACGCTCTCGTCACGCATTCACTAGTTTAATCCGCAAGTCTTACTTTAAAATATAGTAAGAATTAATAATAAAAGAAATCAAATATAAAACTTTTCTACCATTGCTCCTGAATCTGCTTACGACACTAGTAAATCGATATAAAACAGAAAAGCTTAATTAAATTAATTATATTTCTTTAATAGCCAAAGTGCAATAAAAAGGTACATTTGTGAGTGCCTTATTTAAGTCATCACATTTTTAATGTCTCCGAACCTATCTCATCACGCGCAAATGTAGACGTGACGGTTGCAACATAATGACAACGATAGGTAGGTTACACTCGTATTTGTTCATGAAAGATTATGTTTCGTAATCATTTTATTATTTTATGTAAAATTTGTCTGACCCCGATATTTTGAAACGCTTTGTAAATGCAATTATCATTATTGCTATTCCATCATATTTTACGCGTTGTAAGATAGGAGAATTACTGACGAAGATATTAAATGTTTATGGAAAAGGCGGATATATTTTAACCTTAACTAATAATTTTCAAGTTCAGGAATGATTAGATTTTCTGTCTAGCAATTATATTATATAGTTATATTTAAAAACTAACTTGTACCTTGGTATTTCGATTCATTGAACTCATGTAAGATTTACGGAACAGACATTCATATCGAACATTATTTGAAATTATTATAGAAGAATCTTTTCCCTGTATATGTTCGATAGGAATATAGTCACTCGATAAACGGTGGTGAATCCTATCCATTTATCATATTCATATCTGCAACACCGTCTGGTTGCCTGAGGAATGCATATTACATTCAATCCGAAATGTCCATTGTACTCACACACACATGTACTTACACATTTTAATTTTGTGGAATGTAAACATTAAATAGTAACGTAGAATAAAGGGGGGAATATTACTGACAGCTTTACAGAGTTACACTATTCCACTCTCGTCAACGACGTCACTCCATTTGGATTTTACTATTTTACCATATATTATATTATTATTGGGTTGTCATTCAGATATAAGTACTTGCAATTAAAAATAGATAAATAAATGGAGTCTCAGTCACTAAGTTCTACGAACGCTTTTCGCAAAAAAATACACGTTTTATTTTTACGAGGATATAAAGGCTTTCGTAGATAAGGTTATGTAACATCCGCGCGCCATCGCCTCTCGTATCGTATAAACATCCTTGCAAACACTTGTAAGTTTATCATTAGACTGTTATAAATCCTTTTTAAATATATTAATCTATTTATCGTTTATCGATAAGTTTTGAACTTTAAAAGGAGTAAAAGTTTTTATTACTGTTTATTATGTAGTTTGTTTATTTTTTACGTCTAGAATGTCCATTAGTCGAATAGGGAAGTTGACAAAAGTTCATTAGAGAAGGAGAGATTGCATATTATGACCATTTATGAGAGGAGTGGAAATCGATTCGAGTGACCACGCCCTTACACCGTGTTACATGTTTTACACAAGTCGAACATTTTAATGCAAATCGCAATGTATAAATACCGTCAAACGAGTTTTTTTAAACTGGTTATTATCAAGTGTTTATTCAGGCACAAAGTAGGTATTATATACACCATTAGTCCTCAAACTAATGGGTCTTTCGAGGAAATTGACTGTAAAACATTCAATAGAATGAAAGCAGCTTGGTTTTATAAAAAATAAAATATAACATATTTAAATATATTTTTTCAATGATTTTCAAATTATGGGGTATGTTTATTAGGTATTTGATTTATTAATGTTACTTATACTGCTATTATTTTTAATTTATATTCATGAATGGGCTTATTGTATTCTGCATTACCTAACAAATGATTAGGGCTTAAGCAATACACAATGTCACTTCTGAAATTATTTACTAAGACTGACATTACTGTAGTTTTAAATTTACACCTTGTTTTTAATTACCTATTTAACAGCAGTTAAATTTGCATGTTTCCGCGAGTAACCACTTTATTTATTTATATAATTGACTACACGGATGTTGGTTTAAGCGGTCGCCTCTCCGCTTCCTACTGCGCTGAGCGTTGTGGGTTCGATCCTCACTTGGAACTTTGTGTGATCCACAAGTTCTAAAGGAAGTTGTCTATTTAAAGAAAATACCATGATTACCTTGGAGAGAGTAGAAATACCTTATGACAGCCAAATCGGAATTTAGGGACATGTAAAAAAACCTGGTTAATGTGGGTAGGCCAACTATCAGTGACGTAGAGCAAAAATATATTATATCTCGTGTATTTGAATTAGGAGTAACTTCTTAGTATAAATGATAATGACGAAATCAGTAAAGGAATCTTCTCATTAACAGGACATACAAACAAACTCATCCCGCCATTTTCCATTAGGGATATACAGAGATAACGCAGTTATACTTTGTTAAATCCTTTTAAATACATACTTTGCTTGAGTTACATCTAATACTAAGAAATAGTATAATTTGATTTCAGTCTTAATTACGAATTGGTGGAATGTCGATAATTGTTTGGTCGTAAAACTAGGTACTTCGGTACCAGTACTTCGTTAAGCCCTTACAAATATCCGTCAGCTATTTTTTATAGGTATTGCCTTTTGTTTATTCCTCGAGCACTATGGCTTTTTAAACACCTTAATGTAGGCTATAAACGGTTTTCTAGGATGATAAACATAATATCTTTATTCAGTAGGAGAATTATGTCTAATTAACATTCTGCAGTTTACCTGAACTAGGTTTAACACCTGTATCTCGGGCATTAGTGCTCTGCTACCAAATTATTAGCTAAAACACTGAATAAGTTCCTTATTACATTGTTAACAAATCGATGCACACACACGTAGTCGTGTAGTCTTCGTAAAGTTTGACCAGGAACATAGACGTTGGCAAGCTAATTATTAAAAAAAAATCAAGTGCGTGAAAATGTACACTTAAAATTTACAAACTAGCGATTTTATTTTTTTATTATGTCATATACTAGTGTCACTTTCACAATTAAGACGAATCCGACGATACCTCAGATGCCAAAATCTGTCAAGTCGTACAGGCTACAGAGCGTGCCACTACAAACTCGAAGAACATACCGTCCTTCTGGCACAGTCGGGTAATATATATTCGTAAATGCAAACTCACCGTCGACTTTGGTATGATGTGGCGAAGGGGGTGCAGACTCAACATCTGAATGTAGACTGTATGAGTGTTCTGTCTTGATGGGTGCGGCGCCTAATGCGGCATCTGTCATTAGTCTGTCGTGCAATACAACACCGGATTTTGAATCGCGCTCGATCAGCCAGTCTGTCATTTCTGAGTCCTCATCGAGAACATCCCCATGCATCTCCTGGAACAGAAATTTGTAAGCGTAAGTTTTTGATACGTAAAAACTCTCTAAAAAATATCACGTTAAATTGTTATAAGCTGTTTTCTATATCCCTTACTTATCCCACCATAGACCTATATCTACATTATTTTAAAAAATAAATGATTGGAACAAATTTTATTTAAAAAAAGATATATTAGAATTAATAAATTCAGAAATAATCATTATAATTTCTCACACATCTCACACACGCCGTCTGATCCCAAACTAGGCAGAGCCTGTACTATGGTTACCAAACTGCTGATAAACATACTTAAATATTTTTAAATAGATACATATTATAGATAAATTACACCCAGACACAGAACAAATGACTGTGTTCATCACAGAATATTTGTCCTGGGTGGGAAACGAACCCACGACCTCCGGTTTAGCAGTCAGGGTCACTGACCACTACACCAACAGGCCCGTCGAATAAATAAATAAATGTTGTTAAATATAAAATAATGTAATACACGCATAAAGTAAATACTTCGTTGAACCTTCTTTTTAAAATATAAAAAAAAACAGTTTATATGGTATTATAAGCATGTCTGTGTTACTTTATATTTAGGTAGAGAACTGCGAGATATAGTGTTCTTACAAACAGATATGATTAGTACTGTGATTGGTCTAGGTGACAATACTAATTAATCCTGTTTTGTAATCTTTCATCGCATATGAATGTTTACTGTATTCATTCTCAACTAAACATCGGTTAAGTCATCGCTAACGTAAAGTATCAATTTCACGACTTAAGGGAAGAGCTAATCGCAGGATTAAATATGATTACAACTGCCAACGTGATTACTTGACGCTTTAGTAAAAATACCGTTATTCTTTTTTTATGTGTGTTTTAAAAGAATATTTGATAATTATAAAATTAAAAACTTTTTAATTTAATTGGATTGCTCGTCAACTATATTAAGTAGAAAATTATACTAACACAACGTATGCCAAGGATTCGTATGTTATGTTAATAATATAACAAACTCAGATTAAAAGAGGGTAACTTTGCACAATTTCGCCCATTGAAGTGTGAAATAACAAAAATACAAAGTTATAAAATATAAAAATATTTTTGAACTTTTTCGACATGCACATTCAGTACGTGACAAACACAAAAAATGACAACTGCAATTCTTAATGAATTTTGACAGCTGACATTTGTCATAAAATTGCACGATTAAAACTTGTGTTTTATTACATCATTCACTTGACCGGCACAATGTTACTCGCATTTTTATTACCGTTAGTGGATTAGACAATTGCTTGGCAATTAACGTTAATTAGGAATTAACTTATCAATGCTTTACTTGGAATGGATATGGTGAACGAGGCCCTTAGAAACAGAAATAACTATTTTATTATCGTTATTGAAAATTATTTATGCTTCGGCTTACTCGCTGTCTCCTCCCTTCGAGACGTAGGTGACTTCCCAAACTAGGTTGGGGTCGGCTTTTAAGTTAACTTCGATTCTTTTTACGCGGAGTGACTGTTATCAGACCTCCACAGCCAAAATAATAGACTATATCGAAGTTCTGTAGAAAAACTGTTGTCGGACTTTTACGGCTCCAAATACCCGTAACGATTGCCACAGATGTTCATATGGCAACCGGGACCGACGGCTTAACGTGCTCTCCGAGGCATGGAGGGGTCCCAATGTGTGAAGAAATACTCACCTATCCATAGACTGACCTGGCTAGGATTGCCTTGCTTTGCAATGTGTTAAAATACTCGGTTACCACTTAGTGGGACTAAGTAGTAACCGATTATTTACACTCGCCGGCTTGCTCGCTGTCTTTAAAGTACAGAGTTCTTTAAAGCACTACAGTAAAAGAGACTTTTAAAATCCTACAGATTTAAAAAGTTTCTTCTCCTGGTGCATATTTGCGCAAAATTTAATTATGTAAATAGTGTAGTTCAAATTCTCTTATCATTTTAAATCTGTAAGTGGATGATCGATTTCGATATTCATTTATTATTTGAGAAGTAGTACGCACATAATAACATAATATATTTTTTGGCTAGATATTAGTTTTTTTCCTTTTAATAATCTCGCCTCTTCCTCTTCCAATCCTTCCACTTACGCGGAATACCTATTCCTCAAGATTTGTGTCAAGGGAATCAACGTAATTCTAGGTGTAGTATATTGCCCTCCAGGTGTTATCTACTTCTCTAGTCTGGAAACAGTTCTGAAATCTTTAGGGTCGGAACACTCACATCACATCATCATGGGAGATTTCAACACTGACCTCCTAGCCCTAAACTCTCCTCGTACACGCAATCTCCTCCAGATCATACAAGCAACCAACCTTTATATCCTGCCTCTTCAAGCCTCTCACCATAATTTAGACTACCAGGATACCTGGCTAGATCTAATGCTCACTTCTGCCCCACACCTTGTCTCTTTCCACGGACAACTCCTTGCCCTTTTTTTTTCCGTGCGGAAATCCCCTCGGATACCACCTATCGGTGGCATGTCGGACTCGAACCGACCAAAACCGCACGCCGTCTCGGGTACTAATAGCCGGGGAACCAGGTATACCCTAGAAAGGAAGTCCCTGGTGCCCCGACATACCTCGGGCCATCTACAACAAGTAGACGACCCCCCCCACCGTGTGGGAACCCCATGTTCCCTCTGCTCCCTGGAAACTTCTTGCCCCTGGCTTTTCCCATCACTACTTGATCTTCCTTTCTTATATCCTGAAACCTCCCAAACCATCTCCTCAAATTCTACAGATTCGCAGTTTCCGTCACATGGATGTCGAGAAACTACTTGCAGATGCTGCAGGGATAGATTGGAGGATGTGTCAGCTGCTAACGATATGGACAACAAAATCCAGATTTTTAATGATAACATTGTCAAGCTATACGATGTCCACGCTCCAATTAGGAGAGAAAAATTAAAATGTGCCCCGGCTCCCTGGATGACGTAGGAGGTCAGAACAGCTATGAGACCAGGGGACCAGTCCTTTCTTCGTTTCAAGAACGATCGCTACGAAGACAAATGGAACCTCTATAAGGCCGCAAGGAATCGGTGCAACCAGGTGACACGCAACGCTAAACGCCGACATATTCTTCAAAACATAGAGTCTTCTTCTTTGTCCAGTATCTGGAAATTTATTGGTACTCTAGAAATTGGTAAACAACAACATCCCGTGTTTTAATAAAATTGGTTTGAATGATATCAACCGTCATCTCTCATCCACAACTACGCTGCATCTTGAACACAGTTACCGCACAGCTACCGCTCTCCTTAAAGTGACTGGCGATATTATAAACGGCATGGAAGATATCAAAGTCACAGTATTGGTATTGGTTGACTTTTCTAACGTCTTTAATACCGTCAATCCCGAAATCCTGTTATCTATCCTTACATATCTTATGGTTCCTTCTGAGACACTGGAATAATTCTCCACCTATCTTCAGGGGCGACAGCAATATGTTCGTGTTGATGACATATCATCAAGTTGGTGCGACCTCTACGCTGGCGTCCCACAAGGCAGCATTTTATCTCCTCTTTTATTCTCAATATTTATTAATCTCACAACTCAACATCTTCAGTGTGCGTATCACCTGTATGACTCAACCCTCGATTGGCGAGCTCAAGTTACTAGCGTGAGCCAGAAAGTAACTGGAAACTTGCGAACATTATATTGTCTAAAGAATTGCCTGGGTCCTAAAACTAAAACCACACTCATGCAGATCTTAATAGTTCCAATAATCGACTGTTGTGATGTATGTTATTTCGACCTGAATGCAGACCTCCTTAATAAGCTGGACCGTCTTCTCAATAACTACATTCGATACATTTTCAATCTTCGGAAGTTTGACCATGTGTCTGCTTTGCGTTCCCTATTAAACTGGTTACCTATTCGCTTGCGCCGCTATCAGCGTGAACTTACCTCTCTATTCACACTTTTAAACTCACATCAACAGCTTTTAACAGTCCACTGCTAGACCTAAGCCTCTCCTTAGAAAGGAGGTTTTGGCCTACTATACCACGCTGGCCAGACGGGTTGGTATAGGGTTTGTGTCAAGTTTACCTTCTCTCTGCAGTGCTGTTGTTCTGCTTAGTTTTTTCCCTTAGTCGGCTCTTACGACACCCACGGGATTAATAGGGGTGGTGACACTCTTTATTCTTAATCCGTCACCACACGGAACTCACCTATTTACCTCGCTCCCTACCTCTGTTAATTGTCCTCTAATTACGACAGAAATCTTCGCTCAGGAAATAATCTGCTTCTCTTATGTCCCTCCCATCACTCTGCGTGAACTCTTCGTTCTTTGTTCAAGCAGTACGATTTTTGAATGCGACTTAAGTCAGCCGATGTACAAAAGTGCATAAAGTTTGAAATAAATAAATATATATTATGTCATTGTCATACACTGGTACTTTACAGAAATTTTTCAGAGATCTTTAAAGAGATTTACAGAAATGCTATTATTAAAGGCAATAGAAGAATCACTATTATCATTCTCATCACAAAAAAACATTGTTTTAAAATAAGCGGATTAAACATTAGATGGTCAATTCTCGTAATAAAAATTATTTCAAAATTCAATTCCGATCTACTTTTGATCTCACAAATGTCACAACTCATAACATATATTTTCATAGTAAACTAATTACTTTCCAACGTTGAGTGTAATGTGATTATATTGTAATGTGACCGAAAGTTGAATCGATATTGTGCTCTAGTCTTAGTAATACTTTACTACTCTCTGATCGGAACTAATTTTTATTATAAGAATTGACCTTCAGATGAAATAAAAAAACTAAGAAGAGTGACAGGTCAATTAGTACACAAAACTTGGTGCACGGAACAAAAACACAAAACAACTCAGTATTTTTGTATTATGTAATGAGTTACAACTTAAATACTTACACTTTTGTACACTTTGTTGTACACTAAGAAAACGATATCAAAAGAATCATTGCCTAAAAAAACAAGTTGTGCATTTTGAACAATCTC